TTTTTGAATTCAAGGATTTCAAGGATTTCAAATTATCATCCTCCTCCAAACCAGCAAGAAAGTTTCGGTGAACTGATTTATAGCTCATTTCTGCTGGATCTATTTGTTTTATCGATATATTAACTTCCAGTTCCACAACTATCAAATAAAATAATTATTATCAAAATAAAAAGAGTTTATATTAAATCATCAAGTAAATAGTTTTCGACTACATGTAAAGGTCCTTATTAATTAACGCATTTTTACATCCTCTTCAATTGGCCGGCGATTAATCACCCTTGTAAAAAAACTTTAAATATTAATAAAAGAAAAATTAAAAACGAAAATTCTACTATTAACTCCGCTAGCGGTCTCAATAGAGATATAAACAATCTATCGAATGGTTCCGAGGTATAGAATATGCAATTGTATCAGGTGGTTTCCTGTTGGATTATTACAATGGGTAATAATCGTTTGCTTTATCTACGTTCGAATGTCAGATGTTAAATCTTAATATATTTTAGGGCCTATTTTAGTAGGTAATGGTGAAAGGTTGATTTCGTGGTGAACTTTACCAGTTTACTACGTGGCTGTCAATTTTTTTTTTGTATCTTCATTGTTTTAAAATATGATCAATTAGTTTTCTCGGTCCTGGTGTAACCTTTCGGCACTTTTTCTAAGACAGTTTTAGTTTAGTATTATCATCTAGACTGCGAGTGGATTTCCCAAACTAATAAAAATCAGTCATTAATTTTTCTTTTTGCAAAAAAAAAAAAATTTAGTAATGAATAATTGGAAACTTTCAAAATTTTTTAATAAAGAAAACGAACCAGAAAAAAATCCACAACAATTTATCTTGGTGATTTTGAATCAACCATTATTAATTGATGGTTTATTTAAAAGATTGTGGGGAAATGGTAAAGATGTAAATATTGTTTGAATTAAATCAAGAATTTAAGAAATTTTTAAATTATTATTATTTATTTTGGGAAAAAAAGCAAAATATGTTTTATGTGCAGATGGTGGAGCAAATAGATTATATGATAAATTCAAAGGAACTGATTTACATGGAAAGTTAGTAATAATTATCATTATCATCATTATCATCATCATCATTAGAAGGATAAATTATTTCAATTATTTTAGATTTATTCCAAAAATTATTAGAGGAGATTTGGATTCTTTAAGAGATGATGTTCGTGATTTTTTTGATAAAAATGTAAGCAAGCAAGCTACAGAAACAAAAATCATAAAATCAATATTGTTATTATTGACGAATATTTATTAATGTAGGGTGTATTGATTGAAGAAGATAAGGACCAAAATTCTACAGATTTTAAGAAATGTATTGATAGAATTGAATTAATTGAAAATGAGAATAATGAAAAGGTAAAAAAAATTAGACAAATACACGTAGAAAATAAAAATGATAAGGTTCATGCAGATGTATATTTTAGTATGAAATAGTGGCTTTGGGCGCAACAGGCGGCAGATTTGATCAAGCAATGTCACATATTAATTATTTACATCAATTGAAAAATCAACATCAAATATATTTATTATCAAATGAAAATATAATTTTTTTACTAGATAAGGTAAAAAAATATTTATATCTAAATACTATACAATGAATATTATTATTCTTATTAACAATTTTTTTTTTATTATTTAGGGAAAGCATCAATTATTTTGTGATAAAAATATTGAAGGTCCAACTTGTGGATTACTTCCAATTGGTGTAGAGGCTGCTGTCATTACCACAACAGGCCTAAAATGGAATCTTGGTAGGCAATAAAATAAATATTATAAAATAATAAAATAAAATTTCATCGACAATCACTCTCAAACTCATTTTTAAACATTAACGAACACATTCATACGATATATTTATAATTAAATACCTTACCTTTGTTTTAACATTATCTCTGACTTTTTTAATTCTGTGCTCCTTTATTTTTAAAAGTCGAGAAAAACGACGTGGAATGTCTGGTTTATCATCAAATGTTGGTGGTTCATCATATCTGATTATATAATAGAAGCTGTATAAATTATTAATTCATTGGATAATTCTACAAATATTAATTTATTACATTGGTTCAAGAATTGCCTTTTCTTTTTCTTTTTCTTTATAATTTGTTTTTGGATTTGATTTTTTTATAGATTTACGTTTTTTTATAAAATTATGCTTTCTTTTTTTAGCCATTAAAAAAAATTTTTTTTTATGTAAAATTGTGCACAGTCTAAAATAAAATGAAATCGTATATTTTAAGCATTATTATTATTATTATTATTATTATTGTTGTTGTTATTTTTAATAATTTTTTTATTCTTCTCAGAACTTCCTCTCCTAATTTTTCCTTCCTTTGTTTTTGCCAATGAGAAATCATTGAATGATCAATAGTAAAATGACGCCCAGCTGATCTTGGGATAAAAATAATGATAAGGAAATCAATATGTGATACGAAAACTCTCAAGTATAAGCACCCATTACCACCTATCCAACACATTTAAAAATGGTGGTGCTTATATTAGAG